AATTTTAGCATTTTGAAAAAAATTAATGTTTGAAAATGAGTGAAGTTTGGATGACATCCCGGAAGGTCAGAGTTGATGTTTCATAATGATTACACCAGATAATCCTCTTGGTGCAGACACTGTACAATATTTCTTCCAATTTATTTTATTTTATTTTATTTATTTATTTTTATGTCTATTTTTTTCTGCAGTTTTTCCGCCGTGTAGCTCAACTAAATGGAACATGCGCTGTCTACATTTTTTTCCAGGAAGTTATTTCTCCAAATGTCATGAAGAGAAACATGAAAATGTTCGGAACGATGACAGCTCTAACAGACCAATTCTCCCCCCATCAAAAGCCACCGGTGAGCTCACATATGGCGGGGGGGAGAAGCAGCCAACACTCTGAGTCTGAGTCCAGATTGCCAAACAAACACCTCGGGCCTGGTCCCATCTCATATTGCTTCACTTTATTGTGAAGAGCGCGATGGTTTTTTTCCCTTAAACATATGAGCTCTGCTTCCATTTGAATTTGTAAAATACGAGACTYGCAACACTAAAAACAATTATTACAATTTTTCAGAGTGATATCCAGTTTTTTATTAAAACATTACTCGTATAAAAATATCACTCAATGTAAAAAAGGTAAAGTATTCCCCATCAAAATAACAGAAAACCAATTTCACCTCATTATAATCAAGTGGTCGTGATGTTTAGAAAGGGGAATAAAAAGGCAACAAATTTGAACTCCTCCGTCAATATCTRATTAAAAAGATAAAAGTGCTGCTTAGTTAAAGCGCCGTAACGTGATCGCGTAAAAACGCCACCTGCCGCATCCAAAGCCGACACTCATTTGTCTGTCCATGAGACAAGTTAGTGGAGGGGGGAATGAGATTAGCTGGTCACTTTGGGCGCCTGGAACATTGAATCTGAGCGGTTAGGCAGCTTCCAGAGCCCGGGACACTTTATCTGAGGTAGCCCGTGGCTTTCCCCTTGTCAGGTCATTTAATGTGGCACTGGCTATCAGAAACAAATAAGGCCACGTTAGGGCTTCGCCAAGCTCAATAGGTGCTTCTGCGTCTGCCAGTGCCTCAAAACGGCTGCTGTCCTTTTTAATCTCCAAATATTCTTTGGTTTGCCATTTCTGTGGATGGTGTGCGCAATTACGCACGGGACTGCGTAAAAAGCGGGTTCAATATTTCAAAGCTTGTTCTGAGCTGAGAAAAAATATTTAATTTATTATTGAATGACAAGATTTGACCAGTTTTATTATAAATATTAACTTATATTTGTCAACCTATATTTTTACTTCTTCGTTGGAAACTAAATAAACATGAGACTAAGTGACACCGTCTAATTAAGGATATAAAAATGCTTGGATTTGAATAAAAAACGTCTGTAAACGAGAAGTAGAGAATAAAGAGACTTTGCTCAACTGATGTCTCCTTTGTGAGCCATCCACTCACAAATATTCTTCATGTTGTTCCAAAAGCTCTCAGCCGCTGTTTCCGCGTGTGAGGTTATCATTCACGCGCAATCCACACGTGTCACATAAGACAAACTGAAGAGGAGTCGGAGACAGCGAGGGGGACAAATGAGTGTGTCGCCCTGAAAAGTGGGAATAAAGAGAATAATCCATTTCAAGATTGCAAAGTTTTTTTTTTCTCGGCTTGTTTCCATCTGATGTAATTTCACAACAGAACCAATAAATCYGCAGAACCCTGACAGAAGTGACGAAGTGTGATTTGGCTGAAACGATGTAAAGAACGTTGGTCTCCCTTCACATAAATGTTCACGGAGTTTAAAACCTTGCTCTCTATTAATATTATAGGAAACGTCCAATGAAACCCTGACTCATTCCGGCGCCCTGAAGATCCATATCTTACCATATATACATATAAAACACCCTGACACCCGTGGTTATGGGATATCTTGATTATTGTGCCAAATCGCAGGGCCTCCCCCAGCTGACATTCAATCAGTCATCCCGGTGCCAGCCAATGAAAGGTGGAGAGGGATGGAGGAGGACGGAGCTGTTTGACGCGCAGAGAGGAGGACTGCGCGTCACATCTCTCCAAACGCCCATCAAAGTTTCAGCAGAGCCGGGCAGAGAGGAATCAGTCCACATGACGGAGGCCTGTTAGAGACATTCAGGACGCGCTTGGGGTTTTGGACATACAGCCGGACAGAGATGGAGGCACTTCTACTGATGACTTTTGGTGCAGTTTGACCCTCTTGTCAAGCCACTCCGAAGCCCGTCGTGCGCAGTTTTTCTCCTCCTTTCAGCGGCCGAGCGAGGGATGGAGCAAGCCCCCAGCGCGCCGAGCCCCCCTCCAAAACCGGTMCACCACGAACCCATCAGCTTCGGCATCGATCAGATTCTGGGAGCCGGGACAGAGGCGGAGAACGAGCGCGCGCCAGGGAGRCAAAGTGGATCCGATTTAAGCGGCGGGGACGCTTTTTACAGCTTGGGGAACCCGACGGGGGCCAACGCGCCCTCGTACACCGCGCTGTCCATCTCCCTCTCCGGTATCATGCCTCCGGTGGAGGCTGCAGGTTCGTACGGAGAAACCAGGAGTCTGGGAAGCCGGGGCGTGATACGGGTCCCGGCTCACAGACCCGTGGCAGCCCCGGGACCCCCGAACCCGGTCCAGAGCGCTGTTCCTGGGTTTGGAGGACTGTGCTTCCCCTGGATAGGAAACAGGTTCGCCAAGGACAGAATATCAGGTAGGCCAGCTGCAAAACGGGTTCCCCTCATTAATAATTGGTTGAATTTTCAACCAAATAACAGCTTTTTATCACAAAACACCAACAAACATCTAAAAGTTTTTTCTTATCATTATCAGAACATTTCAATATAAGAGATTAATATTTTTTTGCTTTTAAATAATGAAACGAACAAGGCCACATAAAAAGATTATTTTGTTTTCACTTATTTTCTTTGATTATATTTCAAATGTTTAGCAGCATAAACTACAAATGATCAAAATAAAAGTCATCTCTATTTCAGTTATATCAAACACAAACAAATATTTCTGTGAATTGCAATTCTTGTGAAGAAATGAATTACAACTATAATCATAGGTTAAATCTGAAATAAATGCACTTTGTTCATTATGCAACAAATTAATATTTTTGCAAAGATTGTTGGTTAAAATCAGTTTTTTTCATGCAGTAAAAATAAAAGTTTTAGTAGAGAAACATAATTAATTAGAACAAATTTCTGACACTGTCATCAGGCCAGTTCCCTTTTCCTTTTTTTAAGAACTTTATTTATTTATTTATTTATTTATTTATTTATTCATTCATTTATTACATTGTGATTGTAAGGGAACTGGGCAAAAAGATCAGCTTTAATATTCATAATTACCTGTATAAAATTATGAAGAATTAATTGTAGAAAGAGAAACGAATAAATCTAAAAGGGAAGAAAAAAACAAAACAATAGCGTTAATTTTATTTTATTACAGTTGTGTTTTCATATTGTTTTGTCTCAGAGGAAAAAAATCTTCTGACTTTGTTGTCATGTTTTAGACTTTGTGTCGAAAAGGACACCATTCAGAGACACACGGCCTTGTGTTTCCAGCCATGACTTCACACTGAATGACCTTTATTATTATTTTTCTTTGTTGTTTGTTGTTTTTGTTCATTCTCACCTCTTCTTTCCAGCGGCTCTGGTGCCGTTCGCTGTCACGCGGCGGATAGGACACCCCTACCAGAACCGGACGCCCCCCAAGCGGAAAAAGCCCCGAACCTCGTTCTCCAGGGTTCAGATCTGCGAGCTGGAGAAACGCTTCCACCGGCAGAAGTACCTGGCCAGCGCCGAGCGCGCAGCTCTGGCCAAGAGTCTGAAGATGACGGACGCTCAGGTCAAAACCTGGTTCCAGAACCGCAGGACCAAGTGGAGGTGGGTGTGAAACAGCTGCAGACCCCCACCAAGGACATGTAACTGTTTTTTTTTTTATTTCAGGACAAGAAAATACAACTTTCAAACTAAATGAGACAACATAAAGGCCTTCAGTTTTCAATAAATAACAAAAATCCATTTCAATTGATTTTGATTTTCTCTCCACAGTTTTTTTCAGCTCATAAAAGAAGCATGAAACCTTTCCAAGAATTGCATTTTTTTATTTGCACAATTCGAAATAAATCTCYCCCACTAATAAAATCCCGGCTTTTCTCCGCTGCTGCCGTGAGATCTTTAAAACCGTGATGCTGATTTGTGACGCTCGTGTTTCTCCTCCTGCCGTCTTTCAGGAGGCAGACCGCCGAGGAGAGGGAGGCGGAGCGGCAGCAGGCCAATCGGCTCATCCTGCAGCTGCAGCAGTCCGCCCTCCAGAAGTCCCTGAGCGAATCAGCGGCGTCCGACCCTCTGTGCGCCCACAACTCCTCCCTGTACGCCCTGCAGAACCTGCAGCCCTGGGCCGAGGACAGGGAGTGAACAACTCTGATTCTTGTCAGGACAGAGGAACTTATCTTCATAAATCTGAGCAGAAAAAAAACTGATAACACCCCTCTGAGTGGATTTTTTTTTTAAAACTGGACATGAGATGGTGAGTAAAAAAATCTGAAACTTTACTACTTGGACTTTAATGTGCTTTTTTTAAGCAAAGAAGAAAAAAGATCTGAAACAAACTTAATCATGTTCTAATGTTTGCACTTATTCTATTCGTTAGAATAAGAAATGGCACCAGTCAAATCTGTTAATAAAACCACACAGTAAAACACAATATTTCATTCTTTTACAAGTGTTTTTTGTTTCTTTTAAAGCAACATTTTCTTTGTCTAAAACAGATATTTTTTAATGCAGACACGCATAGAGGCTGCAGCATATAAATGGCAATGTTTTCTCCAAAATCTGTATTAAAGGGGAAAAATGTTTGTTTTATTTTATTTTTAAGACAAAATTGCACCCTAACAATCCTGCACATTCTTTTTAGTGCACCACGAACAGTGTGGGAAGTGCTGCATTATGAGGAAATAATGTTCTGAGAAATAATAAACGAGAGAGAAAAAGGCATCAGGATCTGGGAAGTGAAAATAAAACAGGGTGTAAGTTGGTAATAAAAGGAGTGATGCATGTTCATGGATGTTGGTAAAGTCTTCTCATATATGCACATGAGCTTTCTTTATTTTGTGGGGTTTCCAAAATGAGGCCCGCACCCTCTTTTTTTTGTACTTCGTCTGTAAATGTGTAAATAATATTATAAAACATTGTTGTCGCTGTTGTTTCTTGATGTTTTTCAATGCACCACAAAAAAATTATCTTACTGGGGAAAAAAACAAAACAAAAACATTCATTAAACAGTTTAAAATTAAACACAAACGACATGCAATAAATGTAATTTTTGAAAAGTTTATTGATAAATATAATGATTTTATACAATATTTCAATACACACATGATTTGGAAAGTTTTACGCGTCTGTTTGTGTGACTTCCTGCCTGTCGCTCTATCTGGAACTAAAATGTCTGGGAACGTTTAAAGAAGAGCTGCGGCTCRTTTTCTCTATGACATTATTAGTTAAGCACATTGAGTTAAAGCGAATGCTGAAATCTTTTAGTCCGACTCAACCTTCRGAACGATGGCTCTTGTTTGGAACATGGCTTTCATTCCTCGGGAATCAGTGATAAGGTCTGGTCTTCTGAACTCGCTCCCATGTTGTTGTCTTCCTCCAAACTTCTCCCCCTCACAGTGACATGTTGGTCGAACAGAGTCTTAAAAGACACAACTCCTCTTTCTTGYTAGGACATCATGGTCTCAGGTTACATACGTGGGCACATGTCAAACACTGAGGCGACAAGACACCTACAGAAACACATGCATTTTTATTTGCTCCCTACTTTTATCGGTTTGCAACTGAACAGGCTCTTTATTTAGTGTTAGTCGACAGGCAGAGTAATYACAGACAAAACGGGCAGACAGGTATCAGACAGGCAGACACGATGAAGAAGCCACGAAACAATGACAGTGATTCACAGAACGGTTGAGTCGTTACAACATTCAAAAAAGTCATCGACAACACAAACTCACAAGTAGACTGTGGCGAGCTGCACAGAATCACTGTCTAAGTGAGTTCTGCAGATTCGCTTTAATTCAGTTTAATGATTTAGCGCCAAGCCACTACAAATGTCACAGGGCACTGTACAGAAAAAATCAATCTAATGAAGCCAGCAGATTGGGTTGTATCACTTTGTCACGGTCTCCCATCCTGAGCGGCACGTTGGTGACAGTGGAGAGGGGAAAAAAAACCCTTTTAACAGGAAGAAACCTCCAGCAGAACCAGGCTCAGGATGGTCGGCCATCTGCCTCAAACTTCAGGTTTATGTCTGAGTTTCATCTTAGATGAACCTGGATTCTCAAATGCTAAGAAGCTAATCTTCCATCGGATTCTTCTGGCTCGTGTAATAAATATTGGATACAACGTGGGCCGCCATCCTGCATGCTTCATTCACAATATTGCTCATTTTTAGTGGCGCAGAACTCTACAATAAAATCTGAACGTGTTTAAGTCATCAGTGAGCAACCTTTGCAGTCTCACCAGCAAAGATCCTGGGAGGAATTTCAGCCTGGCTGGATAACAGTTAACACACCAGACCAAAAAAGGGAGAGGCCGAATATTTACTGTACACAGTGGTGTGACCACACACACACACTCACACACACAGAGTCTGAGACGACAGCACCTGTCACATCAGCAACAACCGAAGGAGACAGAGATGAGCTGGACACTCACACAAAGACAAAGTAAAGTCATTTTTTCCAGAAACCAGTGAGGGTTTTTTGTTGCCACAGAGTTGTTACAGTAAGATGTCCTTCATGCAGTTCTGAGGGAAATCATAACACCCAAAGTGGCAATTAAAGCTCCTTCTTTCCTTTTTCCCCCCTCAAGTTGTCCTTTTTTTGTGTGTGCAAACTGCTCGCCTTCTTCCCTCGGTGCTTCCATCTGTTGCTCCATCTCCCTCATGTTTGTTGTTTAGATGACGTTTTCAAAGAGCTGCAGAGATCTCATGATGTTTTCATCCTGTGCACAAAAAATAATAATAATAAATAAATAAAGGAGCTGATAGTGAGGAGAAAGACTTCCAACAATCACCTTGTAATTCCTTTTACTAGCCACCAGGGAGCAGTAGAAGGTAATAAAATCTTAATGATCTCTGAACACAAACACATAATACTGAAGATATCAAAGATTATAATTAATAGCTGCTATAATGAGCCCTTCGAAGGCGGGAGGTCTTTATTGGTGGTAAGTAAAAATTGTTTTGACTGAGATGCAGTGTATGAACACAACATGGATTTGTGCTAATTAGGCTAACATCAATCACTCTATTCAACTGCGTTTTGGCATTATAAATATTTAGAAAAATGTAGATGAAACATTTGATTTAGATAGATGAAGGAAACTGTACCTCCTGACAAGAAAGGATGAATTCATCCAGAGTGACAACGCCGTCTCTATTTTTGTCCATCTTCTGCAAACAGATGAACAAATACTGTTAAATGGACATGTACGCCACAAATATATGTCTAAAATACTCATTTGTTACAATAAACTGTCTAATCTGTGAAATTACTTTCAAGAATTGTTGTGGGAAGTGGGGATTTGGCGCCCTCTTGTGGCGGATGATGAATTTGCTGCTTAAATCAAGCAGCACCAAAATAACTTTTGTACTTTTTCTCAAGGGCTGCTACCAAAAACATTAACTGAGGTATTGTTGTAAAGCAGGAAAAGAATAAAACTAACAGAAGAAATGTAATTTTGTCCTATTAAACTTTTCATAGTGCCATTACTGGTAATACATTTAAAATGAATGATGATGCTGGCACCTGAAAGAAGGCATCCACATGCTGTTTGGGTGCATCGGTTTTCAACGCCGGGTATGTGTACTTCCCCATCATGTCGTATATTGCTCTGACAATGTCTGTCATCTCCTGTAAAACAAACACAGACATAAAAAATGCCTTAATGGTTGAAAATAAATAAATAAATACACAAAAACATGAAAGAAAACAAACCTCTTTGTTAATGTAGCCATCTCTGTTGATGTCGTAGAGGTTAAAGGTCCACTGGAGCTTCTCTGTGATGGAACCTCTCAGCAGGATGGACAGAGCTGTCACAAAGTCCTACGGAACATAAAAAAATAAATAAATACAGGATTGCTACATGTGAAGAGTAATGGATAAATAATGACTTAACGTGTGCTAATGAGTGAAGAATAAATCAAACCTCAAATTTGATTGATCCAGTGTTTCCGGTGTCAAACGCGTTAAACAGGTAGTGTGCGTAGGCGCTGGCATCTGGAGCAGCAGAGAAAAAACACCAGTTCATACACATAGTGTTGATACAGGAAAATGGATTTGTGCTAATTAGATTAACATCAATAACTCTGTTCAACTGTGTTTTGGCATTATAATTATAATACAGTTATCATTGTAATCTAATAGCATATCTACTACAGTTGATAATGTCACATACAGTAGCAATATCTTGTTTCTGTGGGTTGATCTGCTGCTGCTATTACACCTAAATTTCCCCATGTGGGACAATAAAGGCTGTTTCTATTCTATTCTATTCTAAAATAACACACACACACTTCACCTCCATGTGGGAAGAACTGTGAGTATATTTGTTTAAATGTGTCTTCATTTACGACTCCACTCGGACACTCCTGGAAAGGGAAAGAGGCAGAAAAAAAGACGAGGTGATGAGAATCTTAAAACTTCACAGACCCACCTGAGGTGCAAAAATGTCAGAAATCATATCTGATACAGACATTTGAAATATACTGTTTATGTACATTAGGCCTATACAGAAATTCGGGCAAAATTAAAATGTCTTATACGGTATGTATGTCAGCAATTATTTGACTATGTGTAACCGAAGGCAAATCAGGTGAGATAAAATACTGGAATTTTTCTTTTTTGTGAATTTCTTACGTTCTTGAAGCCTCTGTAGAGCACTTGGAGTTCTCTTTTACTGAAGTTGGTCTGAGCTTCTAGCTGGTCGAGGCCCTCCGGTCGATGGCACACCATGGTCATCTCCAAATCATCGTCAGCTTTGTCTGAAAGGACAAAAAGAGTCCGTTTTATTCTTCTAGTTAATCAGGAAAAGAGACGTGAGGGTGAAAGGTGCAGAGAGGCAGAGGTCTGAGCCACTTTGCCTTCGTCCTTCTCTGCGTCCCCATCATTAACAGCTCATTACGCTCCTCCTCGCTGCAGGGGAGGACAGGAAGGACTGACTCAACATCCACACATAGGTGAACATCACTGTATACAGTCAAACTGGTTTTTCTTCTTTTTCTCCCACACCCGCTCATCACCACAGCTCACGTGCTCCCTGAAGCAATCCAGAGTAATAATTACACCAAGTGTTATAACTGTGCATAATTTATTTGAAGTACTAATAAAAATTCTGAGCATGATAAAATGGTCATAATGTGGAGTGATAAACCTTGGAGCAAAAAAAAGAGTCTTGGTTGTGTTTTAATAATAAAAAGATTTGGTTTAATGACAGTCTATGATTGAGCAGGAACAAAAAGATGTCCTTTTTTAATTATCATGGTAGAAATAAACATGACTGAATTAGGCTTCAGTGATAAAAGTGTATACCACCCCAGAACTGATTCATGACAAGTTCATATAAAAAAGGGTTGGTTTTCTTAATATCTGGCTTGATCACACTGAGATGATTTCAGAAGAAATGTATATCACCTGCCTCCTTTCAGAGTTTCTTCTGATGGAGTTATATTCTAAACCTTATGCATTAGTTTTTAACACTTGGAGCACTAGACCAGCAGCCAAAAGCTGTTTTGGTCAAATGAACTTGACAGTTGTGGAAAGTTACATTTCATAAAGTATTACTGACATTTTATTCAGAACCTTTCATATTTTATCCATATCAGTTTTGCCAGAGCACTGGCTGGAGGGAACTTTTGAGCTTGTTTGGAGCAGGGGCACAGAGTGTAGAAAGGTGGCACAGTAAATATGATATTTTATCTAAAATCCCTGCAGCCTTWTATTGCAATGAACAGTATGGCAAAATGTGAATAATAAATATTTTTATTTACCCAAATATAACACATGCATGTGTTTTGCACGCTAGAACGGCGCAGTCGATTCAAAATCCGGGACATCCAGAAAACAAGCGTAATATTTACAATACGTCAAGGATTATGACATCTGTATGTTTTTATGCGGACAAAATGATTGTCAGCTCTGGTGGTGGAGAACAGGCAGTGTGGCCAATCAGATTTCAGTGTTTGGTAGATTATTTCTTTGTTGTATCAATGCTTCTTGTCAAGAAATCTTAGTGGGCACCTGATCTGCAGGGGTACCAGAAACTCTAAACAAGTGTCCTGAAGCTGTTGGGCAGAAAATTTTTGGCCCATTTTTCATGTGTGCAATTCAGCTCTACTGGTCATCTCACAAATGCATGTTCCTTACAAATGTGACAGAATCTAAAAGGGAAGTTAACAGATTTTCCAATGGTTTAAGATTGTCAAGAAGCATTGTTAAAACAAGAAATAATCTACCAAACACACATTTCCTTATTTTTTATGTTCACATTTACCAAAAAGAAGACTACTTTAAGTACATGTCATTAAGTATACTGAAGTATATAAAAGTGCATTTCCCCAAGTGTACTTTTATTTACCATGTAAACTGATATAAGTGTACTAGCAGTTTACTAACAAATACACTTCTAGGACTAAATTGGCCCACAAAAAGTTTATGAAAGTATACTGAAAGTACTCTAAGTGTAGTTTTAGTTTAATCTTGAAATAAACTGCAAATAAACCAATCTGTGTGAAAAGTGTACTACTAAAATTTATCTTGACCAAAGTTTAAACAATAGTATAAACTAAGTATACTTAGACTTTTAGTATACTTTTAGTACAAGCCAAGTATAGTGTAAGATAAACTTTGTTAATTAGATCTCAGATAGGTACATAAAAAGTAAACTGGAAGTATACTTTTTTATTTTAAATTTAAAATTAGTATACTCAATGGATACTTGCATATAGTATTTTTTTTATTAAGGGCAGTTTATACAACTGACTAAGACACTGACATTTATGTGTTTACTAAGTTCCATTAGCTGTGGCAGCCATCTTGAGTCAGGTTCATTCAAAAGGTAAGCAGTTATAGATGTGCAAATGATTAAAAATTTCCTTAAAATCCATGCAGTGGTTTATAAAATAATTTGCTAACAGACAAAGCAGCGGTAACGCCAATACGAAACATGTTGTGCAACGAGTTCTGCTCACAGCATGTGTTTGGGGTGATGCTCATTTACTACCACCCTAAACTGGGCTAGTTGTAGCCATTTTTGAGTTCACTAAGATCAATTTGTTCTGGCGGCCATCTTGAATTGGGTTAACTCTAGAATTATTCAGCTGTGTGGATTACTTTCTGAAAGTTTCAATAAGATGTGTTTAGTGGGACAACTGGTCACAAAAAAACATTTCAGCTCTGCCTTCACCTTCAGCGGTAGGTTCAAAGGGTTCAGAGGAGGAAAATGTTCAGTGTTGAAAAACAGTTTTTTAATTATCTCACTCAGCTGTAATAAATTGTCATGCAGGTTCACGTTGCGATCGCCACTTTGAWATATTGGCAGTTTATTTTTTAAAAACAGACATTTTTATCTGCATGTCAGAGCTGTTAGTGGCTTGTAAAGCCTCATTACACCAGCGCCTCTTCCGTTCTGCCCTCTCAATGAATCACAGCCACCATGTTGGAACTTTATCCTCCCTSGCTGAAATAAACCTCACTCATCGGTCTAACCATTTCATAGTTGAATGGTTTCGAAAAATGTTCCTTTTTATGTGTCATATAAAACACACTGGATTTGAATTTTATTGCCAGATTCGATCACACGCTCATTCAAAGAGCTAATTTAAACTGTAAACGCTGCACTATAGATGCACCTTAAATTGGGCCCATTTGTTTTATTAAAGGCTTTAATGTTTGGATGATCATTTTCATGTTAATCTTCAACAACACCTCTGTGTTTCTCACACAGGCATACAGTGAGTTGTAGCATCAAATGAGCATTAAAGCTCAAACTCCAATTTATTGTGAAGAGCCATCRTTACACAAGCTCACAAAATCAAGTAAAAGAACACAGTATTCCCAAACACAGCTGATTGTTATAGAAATGGTATTGAGAAAATAAAAAAAAACAGTCTGTGAGAGGCATTAAAATAAAACCTCTTGAGTCTGACCCAGGTTTTACAGACTCACCCTCCACAGTGATGACTCCCAGCAGGTGCAGCAGTTTGACGGCACCACAGCACAGCAGAACAATAACTACTGTTTTTAAGCTGCTGTCCTGTTCCTCTCTTTCCATTTTGATTACTTCCTCGTTTCTTCTTCTTCTTTATCCTGAAGCTCCCTGTCCTTCTTTATTTTTCATGTTGCTGTCCCAAAACTTCACCTCAAATTAAAAAAAACGTGCACCAACTCCAAATATTCTTAACTCCAGTCTGCTCCGTCCAGCAGAGCACTCTGCTCTCATGAGCCTCTCTTCAACTCTSTTGTTTTATCCATCTCTCCATTCCCTGGAGCATCTGTCTCCCATGTCCCGACCTTCTCTCCATCCCAGCAATTCTCCTCCTCCCTGCCTCTTCGCCTCCCATTAGACCTTCAGTCTCCTCTGTATTACCGTCACTGTGTCCTTCACTCTTTGGGACTGGACTTTAACTGGAGGCTCCACACTGAGATCACTGAAACAATGACAACCTCACCTTCAGCTTCTCTGTGTTTGTGAGCGACTCAGCGTTTGATTAATGGTTCACATTCACACACTGTCAACAGACGACTAAATTTACCACAAAGTGACTCTTGAAAAGTCCTTTTGTGTTTTACTTCAGAGTTTGAGTCCACATCRGTAATTTATGAAAACTCTTTGAAGATTCAACCAACAATCTGAATTACAGGCTGCAACCAAAAGGAGTAAAAAAAACCTCAAACAACCAACAGGGGGCAGCAGAGACAAATCAAATGAACACCATCCAGATGTGATGAAAGTTTTATGATAAACATTCTGCAACAATTCTGCACGATTCTTACAATTTATAAACAGATCATACTCCTATAAGAATCAATTCAAACTTTTAGTAAATAAAAGGCTCACAGGTGATTTAACAACAAAAAAACATGACTAATTACATACAGTGTACCGGTACCTTCAAACGGCTCAGTGCAACACATTAACATGAGCAACCACATSATTTTTACATAATGATTTTAAACGTTTCGAGAGAACTTACAAAAAACAACAGGATTTGACATATTTGATTTAAAAAATGTATAGTATCAATCAGGAAGCATGGTTTGTTTTATTACGCAAATACAAATTGCTTTAAAAATAATTAGATAAATGACCATTCAAATGTGTACTGTCTAGAGTCTAGACAATTGAAATTAATGACAGATACATGTTGTTTTAAAAGCTGTAAGTTCTGTTAATTTGCACAATTGCAAAACACATTCGTTTTTTATGGAAGAATGTGAGCAAAATACACTAATTTGCTTGCATTTAAACCATTATGTTCTCCAGAAACCCTGATGTCCCTACAAACAAAACCAACAGTTTTCAATTATAGGTCAGAGAGTAGAACGCACAATTAAACACTAAAATCCAGTCGTCTCCTCAAAAATCAAGAATTTAAATTAATTTGACTGCATCAAATGCTAGATTCTGTTCCTTGTTTGTTTTTTTATTGTATTTAATTACAGTGAGTCTGAGTGTCAACAGCAGGGGTCTCTGCTGCACCACCACAGTTCCTACAGAGTTGCTTCGTTTTTTTATTATTTTTTTTCTGAATTTACAGCAGCAGAGCCAAGCACAATTTAATTTAGCAACAGGAGCGGCGCTTCATCTGATTTCCCAGACATCTATAAGCAGCCCATTAATGTAAACAGCACTTCACGAGGCTGATTAAGTTTATTACACATTGTGTTTATCTAAGTCATCAGCTGTTATTATTCTGAGCAGCAGCTCTAGGTTTAGATGGCGCACCGACGCAAGAAGTGTAGAAACTTTCTGCAACTGCTGCAC